CTTGCGCTCTCCGGTTCCAAAGGCTCTCCTTTCTGCAGCGCGGTCAGCCTGCGCTGGGCCTGCGGACTCTTCCTGCGCCCCTCATCAGGTGCCTTCGTCGGGCGTGCGAACTCTATAGAGCAGAAGCTTCCTCTTTTGAAGCATTTCCGCGCTGTTGGTTAAAGGGAAACTCGGCTTTTTTTTGCCCAAAACCAACCTGCGCCAGCCACGTAGCTGAAGACAACACCTACTGTTGGGTTTAGGCCATGTAGTTGGGTTATTAAGTGGTCCGCGTGCCCTGTTGTGCAGGTAATTGTACCAGTTAGGCAGGCTTGTCTCGCCCAAATAAGTAAAACATAATCATTCTTTAAGAAAATTACAAGCCTTGTCAAAGATTTGTCAGTCTGTAATAAGCTTACATGGGCTAGGCTTATTAAATCTTGATTAAAGAGGATTGTATGGAATGGAAAATAAATACAGAAACTCTGTACACGTACATGTAAATGTGGGTACAAGCATGGGAGAGAAAATACCTTGAAGAGCCTTGCGTTTGCCGAACCGAGGGGTGAAAGTGGCCAGAACATCCAGCCAGATGGCTGCTAGCTCTCGGCACCAAACTAAAAAAGGGCTTTTTATTCGGAAGAATCACCTCACAAAACCGGCGTGTCACTTCTGAACGCGCCTGTGCCTCGTCTTCCATCAGGGCCACGGCTGTTGAGCCGGGTCTGGGGCTGCTCCAGCTGAGGCGTGTGGACACCCCGCTGCAGAGCTGCGCGGAACCCCCTCCGTCTCCGCTGTGGCCGTTCGCTGCCTGCGTTCCTCCTCGGCACTGAACCCCTGTTGTGCTGTCCACCCTTAATACACCTCAGAGTACGTGAACTAAATTCTAGTTCCAGCAGAGATCACTTACCCGACAGCCCCAGCCAAAAAGCGGTGGTAGCATTTCAAAATTGTGTGTGTTGGTGTGCATTGAAAAGGCTTTATATGTAATCTTTCAGATGAGCATGGAGAAGCCATAAATGTCTTGTCAGCACCCGTGTGACAACCACACCGCTGTGGGTTCTGCTCCTGCTCTGGGCAAAACTATTTTGGACGAGTTGCAGCGAGGCTTTTTTGAAACATTTATTGGGACTGCTTGTTTATGTAGTAGACTAGTTATCCCGCAGCCTTTAAAGACTTTGGCTCCAGTTGCAGGGAGCTTTGGGGCTACTGGTACAAACTGCTGGCTCTGCAGAGTCAGAAAGCAGTGACCTGGCAGAGGAGTGACACAGAAGCATGGTGCTGATGGCAAGGAGTGTAATATCACCCTACAAGAAATAAGACTCCTAAGAAGTTCAGATGTTTAAATTCTGAATACTGTAAAAGCCAGTTTCTTACAAGGTAGGCAGTTCCTTATGCCATCTTTGTATGCTGGAAACCATCAATTTTTCCTTACATAAAACTATGCCCTAAGAGTCCTTTCTGTTCTCTCTGCAGCCTTGAAGTTTCTGTCTAACCCCATGGACTTGCATGAAAGTTGAAGAAAGTAAAGAAAACATGATAAAAGTTCAATTTGTTTTAGATACTATACTGTGGAATAGCAGGAAGGAGAATCGCCATTTTTCAGTGCACATAAGAACAGGCTCTGAGTCTGACCAGTACAGCTACACTGGGCAATCTTCTAACACTGTAGTCTAGGCAGCTCGGAAGATGTTTTCTACTTTTGTGAAACTTGTTTAATATGCAGATTGAACTTCCTACATAAATAAAGAAATCAGAGTTATCCCAGAGATGCCAAGGCACTTGCAAAGAGGAGGTAGCTTTTAGGTCTGGAAGCCTTTATTTCTTTCTCATCAGTTGTAATTAATAAAATCATGCCTTTCACACTGCGACACAAAGACCTTGACAAGAGGTGTGGGCAGCTCTCTACATCTTACTCTATTTGAGGGTAACAAAAATAGACTACAGAATCATCAGGCTTGCACTTCGTCTTCATATTTGTTTGATCAGTTTGACAGCAGGGGCTACACCTGTCTGGAGGCTTTTGGCACAACCAAAAGAGTAAAAAAGAAGTCGTGAAGGAGCTGTCCTGTCCCTTCATGCTGTCACGCTGTTTTGTGTCTTTCTGTTCAGCTTCCTTGTGTTTCTGAGGTACCAGATTTATTATGGTTACCCTCTGCAGACATACCTGGAATATCCCATCATCATTGCACAAGGTAATTTTTTTAAGCCATGTTTTGGAAATAAACCAGGGCTCATTCACCACTCTGAGACTTGTAGATACAGTACTCCACTGCAATGACGTATGTCCATTGACCAATTCCAGCCGGGGTCAGGGGGAAGAGAGAATGAAAACTCAAATATAATTGTATTCCTGTACATTTTATGAAAATAGATGGAGAGGAGAAAGATCTAGTTACTACACACACAGTGGTGCTGCAATGCAAGCTCATCCTTTCTCTCTCTCTCTGTGAGAGAGACCTGATAAACGCTCCAGATTCTGAGAAAAGTTTCATATTGGAGCTTGCAGTGTTCTGGACATCAATCAAATTTGAGAGACAAACCTGTAAGAAGCCAGTTTCCATAGACATGGTACCCAGTGGAACTACTCCCTTCTGTCTAGAATTGCATTTAGGCCCTTTCTCTCTCTTCTCTGACACACAATCTTTTATTTATTTCAGACGTCATTCTCCTTTTGTTTATTCTGCGTTTCAGTGGAAAAACGAAACGAGCTTTGTTCTATGCAGTCACGTATCCTTTGAAATCTGGGAATTTTGGTTTATGTAGCTTGTTTGGTAGTTCTTTGCGTAGCAGCTATGTTATCGTTTGTTTTGTGCAACCAATGTAAATCATTTTCAGCCGCTCCTCAATGTGCATTCCACATTCACATGTGGATTTCTTGGATCACAGTAAAATCTCTACGGAGAGTAGGCTGTATATGTAGCTATGCTTTAGAAGGCCCACAACCAATAAGGAGCAACACCAATTCTTAATTCACATCTTTGCTAGAAATGCAGGTTGGAAATGATGACTTTTTTTTTCATTGATTCCCACCCATGCAGATTGTACTGGCTATGATGAGCATAGCAGTGTATGGTTTTGGTGGTTTTTTTTAAATAGGACTTGGGCTTAAATCTCAAGTCTTGTACTTTGGAGCAGGTCTCGAGAAACTCCAGGCACTGTTCAACCAAAGACAGTGTGAAAAATAGGAACACTTAGTGTTTCAACAAGTGCTTAATATATTTTATCTAGATTGTATAGTCTTCTGTAAAGTTTCAATAAGATTATTTCCAGATGTTTAAAAGCATCTCATTCCCCAGGCAGTTTCAAGAGCTTTGGTATCCTAGAATTTTCAGTGCTATGAAACTTAACATAATGTAAGATTTTGGGGGGGCTGGTACATGCTAACACTGCGGAAGTGGATAATAGACCTGGCCATGGTAAGTGCTGCATGATTATTTGAAATTAGGTCCATATATGAAATTACTTCTTTTCTGGACATCTTGATCAGTGAAATCTCTCCTTATATTTGTCCTTGGAAGAATTTCATTTGGGTTAGCTTTCAGAACAACCCCAGTTTTCAAATACAGCTGTTTAACTTCTGTGGGTAGCTGGAAAACATAACACTGGCAATAGAGACTCTATAGGGAAAAAAAAAGTATGTTTTGAAGTGAAGTTGTTAATTGCAGTGCCTTAATTAAAACTAGCAAAGAGTTAAGATGTTGGAAAAAGATTGCCTCTTTAGTCCAAATGTCATAATCCCCATTAATAAACCTTTAACATGCGAGGAAAAGAATAGAGCATCAGTCAAAGCATTTGAAATAGGGAATGTTAAATACTTCACAAGATCTTTTTTCCCTTTAGTCCTAGAATTTTGCAAGTATCATCTGCTAATGCCTTACATAGGTTCAAGATGGTCTTTGCGCTTTTTATCAGAAGAGAGAAAGTTAAAATTTAATTGAGATAAACTGGAGTTGCTAATGCAGAAGATGATACAAATGGGGGAAGCTTTTAAGCCTAACACCAATCCTTACCTGCAAGGGAAATCCGGGCATGCCACAGAGAGCCATGTGGAGGTCCCCTCTACCCGCTGCCTTTGCGAAGTCCCACTTAAAAGGATGACAGGGTGAATGGTCTGTTCCCTTCATTATTTTTTCCCACCAATTGGACCCATTTTCCACACATTCTTGTCAGTTTTCTCATTCTTTTATGGTTTTGTTTGCCAGACATAATGGTAACAGATGGTCTGAATCAACCTTGCTGGTTAGGCTAGATCAGTCTCATTTTAGCTAACTTTCATAAACAATTTTATGTAGCAGTTTGAGAGGCTCTTTATTTCTTTGCTTCTTATTGTATTTGCCTCTATCAAGCATTTGCCAACAGCAGTAGCAATTGTTGTGCTCTTTGAGCTTCTTTCCTCAGAAATCAGTCCCTTGCTTCTGGCAACTGCAATTTTTTGCTTCCCAGTTCCTTAGTAAGAAGCTGAAATGCTTGGGTTGCAAAATACTGAAAAAGTGTATTTTTTTTATTCTAAATGAAAAAGCTAGTCCTGGTTTTTAGTAAGGCACATGCTAGCAGCCATAAGCTAAACACTTGGATAATACAATGGCAGAGGTTCTTTCTCTTTTTTTTTTACCTGCTTTTCAGAATTTGTGCACACTCATCAGCGCGGCCAGTAAGCTGGTTCAGCTGCGGTGTCTCTGGCAGACAAAAGATTCTGGACAAGTGAGCGCCTTGACCTGGAGTATGTCTGCCTATACCTCCGCAAGTAAGCTGTGGGCATCTTGGTGCGAAGCACTGAGTTTTCATTTTTTAAAGCCATAGCTCCTCCTAATGCCTCTTTCAAGAGCTCTTTACTCAATCATAGTAGATAAAAATCTTGCCTAATGTAGTTTCCCTTAGTGCCAACTTCTGAGACTCCGATACCACACAGTCTCTTGAAATCAAGTTTATCATTGACACCAGCTCCATCACAATGATGCTTTGACTTAGAAAACATGCAGATATGGTCAAAGGAACTTGATACAG